CGTTTTGATCTAGCTAGCTGTAATGATCGATCTATCGTCAAATTGGTTTCCAACTAAGTAATCCGCAAAGTTATGAATTTGGGAAAAAAAATTAAAGGAAAATCTTAGTACTCATCATAATCTGTAGAATATTTTCAACACTTCTCGGTTTTTTGAAATAGAATGGCTGAAATATTTGAAATTTTGTCAATTTCATGATGGTTGAATAGGAAAAAAAGATTTTGAGTTTATATTGTTCTGATTTTATTTTCTATGTTTTTTTTCAAACTTTCTTATATAAATGCTTAAAGTCACAATTGAAACACTATTTTTATTCCATTTTATGCTAATTAAGTTTAATATGGTTATTTAATTTTAAATTTAAAAATATGGTATAACCATGGTTCAGAGCTAAATCCATGGATTAGCCTACCTTGAGCTGAGTTTATGAACACCCCTGTCATGGTTAAGACAAACATTAGATCTAATTTTTTATCAAAAATCTAAAAATGGAAAGAAATTAGCAATGTTATTTTCAAGAAAATATAAATTTTAGTCTCCAAATTTTCTCTCAATTATCACTTCACTTTCTAAGATTTGATTCAAAACTATCAATTCAATATATGAAAATGGAAAGAAATTAGCAATGTTAATTTTTTTTGTCCACAATATAAGCCACTTTAATTAATTCACCAGAATAAAGAAATAGTAGTTAATTCATTAATTTTGTTTTAAATTGAAAATTTTTTCAGCTTACTCATACTATATTAAATATGGTTGTAAAAAAGAGAGAGAAACTCAAAGATTAACATAAGTATTGATTATAAGAATAAAATTGATAAATAAATATTAATTACTCACCAAATTATTTATATTTTGAAGCAAATAATTCTACATTATTGGAGAGAGTATATAACTGCCGTCAATTCGCACCAAGATATTATTAGCCTCGTCTTTTTTGGCCACAACCTTGGGATGATTTGAGTAATTGATTTTAATGCTAATCGTAATTTTATCTTAGAGAAAAGACAAATGTTTACAAGTCAAACATAAGATTAATGTCGACATATGTTTATTTTTCTAATAAACCAAAAAATAATACGAATGCTGGTTAAAAAAAAGGGGTAGTAGCAGCTGGCAACCAAGGAAAAAAAAAAGTACTGCTGAGCAACCTTACTTGAACAGGATCTGTCGTACCTTTGTGGCCTTGAGAGCCAGTAGTTAGTATTTGGAAATTGAAAATACTTTTTCATAATCGAAATAAATTCTTTCACATATTTATTTTGTATATTATAAAATTATTTTTAAAATTATGATTTTGTTTCTACTCAAATACTCTTATAAATTTATAAAGGTAAATATGGCTGGGTCCTAAACGCTGAACTATCTTTTTTTTTTGACCGGAACGCTGAACTATCTTTAAACTTTGCTGCTTTTGGACCTCATGATGCATTATTTGAGTGCCTTTCTTATTATTTGTTGTTGACTGCAAGGATAGAACATCGCAATTTTTTTCACTTATTTTTTAATTTTTAAATAGTTTGCCTGATGGGGGATGTGAATTATTGAAATTTTTTCATCAATTTAAAAAACTCAATTATATGTTCTTATTTAAATATAACTTGCACAAATTGCAAATATGGAACCAATTTTTGGAGAGTAGAAGACAAAGGCTAGGTTCAATCATATGCATCCATGTCAATATGAAACTGGTAAAATAAGTAGAAACTTGGAATTTTAATTTAATGTGACGTTATTTGACCAAACAAAAATTTAATTCATGTGACGTTAACTTTTCTATTAATTAATTAACTAATATTCCTCTTGTTTTATTTATAAGACAGAGAGAAGATTTTTCTTGATCCTATTTATAAGTGACTTCATTAAATTTTTATCATGAATATACTATTTTTTTCATTTATTATAGTGTAGATAGTTTTTTTTTTTGGAAGGTCTATATATATTAAATATAGACAAGGTTGAAAAATTGTTATTTTTTAATGAAGAATTAATAGAGTTTAAAGTTTTTCTTGCTTAGGATAAAATATACTAGAAGTTTCTTATAAATAGAACTAAAGAGTATAAATTTGCGTAAATGATAATATTGCATATAACCGAAAATTTAAAAATTGTACCTTATGAGTGGTATGTATATACTAGTATTTTTGCTATTTTAATTAAATGGTGATAGGGGCTTTGTCATTATTTATTAATCAAATATATACTTGTAATAAGATAATATGAGTGTACGGTTTGACCATGCAAGTCACCGTTACTCATAGCTTAAGTTTTTGGCTTAAATTAAATGGTGAAGCAATCTTTGAAGTCATTTCCAAGTTACGCATTTAATTAGTAATATATTCATAAATCACATATAAACGATAACCATTGACACAACCCTGTTGTTTTAAAAAATCAATTAATAATGTTGGCCAAAAAAGTAAATAATAATAATAATAATACTCGTCCGGTCTTTAATATAGAACCTAATTATTGAGTTGATTTCGATCCTAAATATAATACCTATTTTTTATATTTATCAATTTTTTCTAAACTGTCCTTATGGATATTCTCTCAATTATGATCAAGTAGAAAAGAGAAGAAGGATTTTAAGGAAGATGATTATAGTATTTTAGGAAAAACATATCATATTTCTTATAATTAGTATTTTAGGAAAAATATATCATATTTCTTATAATTAACCAACTTACCTAACTTTTTAAATCTAATCAAATTAGTTAAATAGATCTTAATACGAGGAGTATTATTATTATTTTGAATATGATGATAAAATGGTATTCCATCCAGTTCTAAATGTAATTATACTATAAAATGAGTCATACATTTAGGATTTGAGGAAGTACTAGTTATTAAATTGGGACGACACATTATTTGAACAAAAAATTAGTGACTTAGCGTCATGGTATATATTTTGAGATTTAATTTATGATAGACAATATAAAATTTATGTTTAATTTAAATTAAAAGGTATGATAGACAATATTCTTTGGGGGTTTATAGGAGATGATAGGCCAAGGCTGAAGAGTTTTTTAGGCCAATCGAGTGTGAAGAATTTCATTATATGGAAAATGAAATGCATGGCAAATAAAAAAAAGAAAGAAGCAGTACTGTTTTTTAATTCCCTCCAAGAAGCTAGAATCTAAAAATAATTTTATAGGTTATAAGAGACATCGCTGATATTTAAATTAGTCAAACAGTTTGATCCAAGGAATCTTGTGTGCATAAATTTCATATGCTTGCTTCACAATGCAATAAATAGTCAAAAACAATTTCTTTGGATCGCTATCGGAATTTAAAAAATTAGCTTTTGGTAATAGAAATTTATTTCTATTTCCAATCTGTTAAGACATCTCTATCAATTCTAATTATTTAACATAAATATTTTTGGTCAAATATGCCGTGGCTTTATGTGTGACAAACCAAGGGGGAAGTACAATTTATTAAGAAGCAAGCTATTTGTTTTTGTTTTAAAAAAATAATTAAAAGACTTTTCAAAAATTACTTTTAGTGCTTTTTAAAAATAATTTTTATAATTAAATGCTCTAAATATAAAATAAAGATATTGATGCCTTTAACATTAAAAACTAATATATATTCAATAAAAAAATTAATTTCAACTCTTTTTTTTAAAAAGCATTCTTTGAAAATTTGATTATTTGAGCCAAGAGATGCAACTGTATTTATACTTCCCTTTAAAAAGTCTAATAGGCGGTACAATATAACTCATTTTTTAGATTTTGCATTGTTCCAAACAATACAAAAATAACGGATAAAAGGTAGTTGACAAAAATACGTACATATATATATTTGTGTATGTATGTATCACAAATACTATATCTTAGAGAAAATTAAAATTGATAAGAAAAGTACATTCCCATTTATATTCCCCTAACGCATCTATGTATTCAACTGTAGAATAAACAATCTGCTAGTTGTTTAAAGTCATATAATTAGATTAATAAATTAAATTAAAATATATAGCATAATATCAAGATAAATAATATAATTATAACAAGTCCCGTAAGCTATGTAGATTATCGTTGCTCCAAACAGCTAGACACAGCAAGTTATATTAAGCAAATAATGACGTTCACAGCTTCAGAAGGTCATGTTATCCAATACTCATATATCCAGGCGGGTCTTGTGCCTATAAGATATAAACTTTGAATAAATTAAGAAATTGTACTATGTATAATTTTTTTAATTAATACGACTTGTTAATCACACCTCTTAAAAATATATCCATTATTTCATGTAACTTGTATCGCTCATGTTAATGCGTATTTCTACACGTTAATTAAAAGGATGCAATTTTATTATTTGACTGTGAACTAATATTCCATTAAAAAGAGTTCATAAACTTATACCTTGACTCATATAAATAAACCTAGGCAAAATAAAAATTGGAAAAATTGTTGACAAAATCTGTCATTGCAAAACTTATTGCTCCAAGGTATCTAAAGTATCCAGATCCTTGAGCGAGAGCTTTGTTTTACATAGATATGTTGCACATAATTAAAGAAAAGTTGTACTTACCAAAATATGTTACATTTGGGTTTTTAAATAAATTTAAATACATTTAGGTAATAAATTTTGTAATACGAGATTTTCAGCAATTTTTCCATGGATGACAATTTCAGCTTTTTTTTTTTTCCATTTTGTAATTATTAACATGAATACGTGTGTGTAAAAATTATTGAAAATACCGAGCTTATGGAGTTTGATAATTGGAATGAGTAGAGTGAAATTTATTGAAAGGTGAACTCTTTATAAAGCTGCTGAATAATGCAGCTTCTAGTCTCCAACTTGAGGTTCATTGCGCATAAAGGCTAAAAGCAATAAATGTAACAGAAATGTTTATTTTATTCAAAAGAGAAATTATTTTAGTTTTTTATTACTATTATTTGCAATGAAAATTTATTATTATTTTAAATAATAATAATAATATGAAGAGTAATCATAAGGGCAAGCTGGGCAGAGTAAATATGACCACTACAGAGTAGTTCAACGTCCTTTCATAATCATTTACAAATAAAATTTTTGTTTCATATAAAATGGGAAAAATAAAATGGATAATCCCAAACCAGAGTTCCTCTCTCTGTCTCACTGATTGATAATTGATAATTTACTCGTTTTTTTATTTTTTTTAAATCATTTCTGGTAACAACGTTTTATTCTTTGTAAGAACTTGCAAACAAAACAATACAAGTAAGCCTATATTATGAGTAAAAGAAAAATCCAATCAAAAGAAGCCATATGCCCAAGGTTCTTGATCCATGGCCATTTTTGGGCATTGTTTGAGAGCAGAACCAGAATCTGCGATCTTCCTGTCAACCTCGTCATTATCATTCAAAAGCAAATCCCAAACGCTCATAAAATCATCGTCCCACAATCCCATACTGTTGCTGCTGCTTTTGTTATCGTCACTGTAATTACAAGCCCACTCGAATTCTGGGAGCTCCAAGTCTCCGAGGAAGTTGGAGGAATTTGAAGAAGAAGATGAAGAAGAGGACGATGAAGATGAAGGTGTGGGACCAGAGGGCAATAGAATCTCATCAGGTTCAATTAATGGAACCTCATCAGTACAGAAACTGTTCATGATGTCGTCAAGTGTGGGAGTTTCAACCTTGTCCTCCTCTTTCGATTCAGTTAAGGTTGATGATGACTCATGCGATGTGTCTGTCTTTTCTTGCTCTCCATTTTGATGACCAATCTTGAGGCTAGTCGTCACAGGTTGTTGTTGTATTATCTGTACTTGATTAATCTGTGATGCGGGATTCTGGGTTTGTTCAGAGAGAGGCTTGTGAGTGACAGGATCAATCCCCATTTTCTTGAGCTTCTTCTTGATGTGTGTGTTCCAATGGTTCTTGATCTCATTATCAGTTCTTCCGGGAAGATGAGACGCAATCTTAGACCATCTGCACAGGGGGGAAAAAAACAGAATTTTAATACTTTAGGTGAAATTCACTTTAAAAGGTGGGGTCAATGAAAGACAATAATGCAGAAACAGAACAGAACAGGAACAGAGAGAAAAGCTAAGAAAAAGAACCTGTTGCCAAGCTGGGCGTGGAGATCAATCACCATTTTCTCTTCATATTCAGAAAGAAGACCTCTCTTCAGGTCTGGTCTCAGATAGTTGGTCCATCTCAGCCTGCAACTTTTCCCACATCTCAATAGCCCTGCAATCATCCATACCCACATGAATTTTCCGAGCACTCTTAATCACACAAAGGAAAACAGAGGAACCCACCTAGCATGCTGGTGAATGATGAAGAAATAACAAAACCCATTGACTCAAAAACGAAGATCTTGTTATTTCTTAAAGGAAAAAAACAACAGAAACAGATTTTGAGAATGCGGTCGAGATGTTTGAGAAAAGCACAGAAAGAGGGAGAGAAAAGGAGACCTGCAAGCTTGGGGACAGTCCTCCAGCAACATTGGCCGTTAGTGAGGATGAAGTTGATGAGTTTCTTGTCTTCATCAGCAGTCCAAGGGCCCTTCTTCAATCCAACTTTGTCACAGCAAGGCTGCCTTCCCATTTTCAGAGATCAAGTATTGGTGTTCAGTTTAAGGGATTGAAGAGAGATTAAGGAGGAAGGTCGATTGAGTTAATGGAATGCAACGAGAGAGAGATGGGAAGAGAGAGAGAGAGAGAGTCTGTGAAAAGTCTTGGAAGAGTGGAAAGCACAAAGAGGAGCAAGGTGAGAAAAGAATGGCATCACCTACTTATATATACTAATCAAACGCAGTACCAACCCCTCCTCACTAGGTCCCCTCTTCGCCCCACTTTCCTCACTCCAATTTGTCTATTTGTTATTGAAAAATCTCAAAAAATAACTGTTGAATTTTTAAATTATAAATCAGGAATTACTATAAAGATATGTTACTTTTCGAGTGTAGTTATTTTTTTTAAGAGTGAAGTAACCAATACTAATATGGAATTTTGAAATTTAACTGTCATTTTTTTTGGGATTTTTCTTGTATTATTTTGCTTTCTTTCTTTTTTCTTCCTCCATTATTTTATTACAATGCTTGATCAACCTTATATTCCTTCTTTTTTTCCTTATTCCTTTATTTTTCTCCTTTTCTTTTATTGTTGTTTTTTTATCACACACCCCACAAAAGACTTATTTATGCCCCACAAAATTGGTATTATTATTTACATTTAATATATTGATCCTTATAATCCAATAAAAATCTGAATTATTTTGCTTCTTAAGGGATCAAAACCTATTATTTGAAATTTGAAAGACCAGAATTTAAATGAAGACAAACTTGAAAAACTAAGGATTATATTAGCCTGAAAAAGGTACTAGAAAGTAAGAATATATACATAATGATAATGGTGGTAACATAATGGGTGTTATTTATCTTAATTTTTGGCTAAAATTTCCCTCGAAAAATAATAATTGATTTTGATTGAATAATTGATTCAAACAGTTTAGTTGATTAAAGAATGAAAATGATAATTTATTTTTACCGCAAGAGAACGGAAAGAGTGATGCAATAGTCAAAGAAAATTGGGGAGAGAAGCGTCGCGTGACGCACGTGGCACGTCATAGTCGGAAAGCGCCACTTCATCCACCATCCGCTGCCTTTCCTTTGCTTGAGTTTGAAGCGTGAGATCCTCCACTTATTTGTTACCACTTCAATCCTAGATATAAGATTTATTTTTTATGTAAATTATATTATAGAATGAGTCTTATATTTAAGATGGGAGCAATATTTCTTTCTTTTTCCAGAGTCTTAAAATAGAGCATGTACTGTCTGGACATTCTTATGAACGAATTCCCAAAACAAATCATTTTATTTTCCATCATTTTCTTTTAAAATTGCATAAAATAATTGACAGAAATGACATTGTGCACACTTTTAACAAAATTTAGGACAATTGTATGTAACATTAAAAAATTACAAAATATATATACACAAATTACATTATCTTTATTTTGACAATTATTTTTCTTGTATATATTTGAAAATATAAAATATATTTCAAATAAGGACAATATTTACACCAAGTTCTTTATATTTATTATGTTAAACACTCCAATCAAATATAGCTATATGTGCTTACATAGCCTTATTTGGTTAGAGAACTTGATATAATAGACATAAGAAACTTGACTTAAGTTTTTTTTTTTGGGACAAAACAATATAAAGTATATTTGTATGAGTTTTTTTTTTGAAAAATCATTTAATGCACTCAATAGTTATTAAATTAACCAAAGATAGTAGAAAATAATATATACGAATATAATTTAATAATACTTGAAAATTATAAATGAAAAAATTATATTATAAGAGAATTACCTCTAATCAAGTGAAATAGTATGTAGATATGATTCAATAGCACTGAATAATATTATAAAGTTATATAAAAAGAATAGTCAAATAATTGAATTAAATATATAATAAATGAAAAGATGGGATAAGTTGTGGCCCAAGCGGTGAGAAGAAAAAGAGGGATGGATTAAGGGAGAAGAGAGAAAGGAGAGTGTAAGCCATCTTTGCATGCGCGTGAATTCTTTATGTGTGTTTTGGCCACGAAAGAAGCATTTATATAGAAATATATTATTTATTTATGCCGCCTCAAGCTTTTTGCAGCTTCAATCGTATCCATAAAACCATATTAAATTAATTATAACATTTAAATAAAACATTTTTTGAGAGCCGTAACTAACTTTAAAATGTTTTGCATTCATTTAATCAAACACGACTAAGAGCAGCCTCTGTATCTTCTAGGCCTGGCTCTTAATTTAGATGCCCCAAAATGGACACAATTATAAGATAGCTTCTTAGATATTAATTCATTAATTCACTTAATGAACTCTACAACTACTCATACGCACTCATTCCACTTCTTCTTATAAGAAACAACTAATTGAATCATATTAATTAAAAAATTAGTTAACATTAGTTACAGAAATAAATATGTTAACAATATAATTGTTTTTCAAATTATCCTCATTAATGTAAGAGAGAATTACCATATGAACAATTTATCTTGATAATAGATATTAATATGAGTAATTAAATGAAAGTAAAATGAAAAATTAACAACAACAAAATGAAGACAACCTATTAGCTTCTAACACTATATTTGGTACAGGGTTTTCAAAGAGAAGGGGAGGGAAGTGGCTCCCCTCTCCTCGTTTGGCTGTAACATTTTTTAATAGAGGAAAGGGAGCTGCTCCCCTCCCCTTGTTTGGCTTGAACAATTTTTAAGGAGGGGAGGGACTCCTATTCCCTCCTTTTCTCCTTTTAGCCTTTCTTTCAAAAATGGGATTTTTTAAAAAGGAGATGAGGGAGAAAATATTTAATTTCATAATTAACCTTAATAAAATGATATAATTTTGTTTTTATCTTCTGGCCCTTTCATTCTACACTTCTCTCAATCTTACAATTTTAATAACTCTAATCAACTCAATTTTATTTTTCTCTTATATTCAATAATTCAACTAGAAAAATTAAACCACTTAAAATTTTGCTAAACAAAAATGAAATGATAAAAATCATTGGGACGAAAAAAGAAACGATGAAGAATTATAATATTTTTGAAAAAATCAATATAGAACAATATTAACTTAAGCTAGATAATAAGTATCTTTTAATTAGTTAAAAATTAAAAAAAGGAAATAAAAGATAAAAAAGGGTAAAAATATAATTTTTCTTTTGAACACAACAGAATCAACAAATAACAAAATGGAAAGAAATGTGATTTTAATTTTTTTGTTTTGTTTTTCTCAATGAGTTGTGCTTGCGGCTAAAGCACAACCTAGCGTTTTTTTCAAAGTTTGTAAATTGCCTGTATTGATAAAATAAAAAAATTTATTTAAATTTTATAAGAGTAAAATAGTTAATTTTTGAATAGCTCTCATTCCTTCCCCTCTTATGTCAAAATGCCTCCCTTCCTTCCTCTCTGATCAATTTAAACAAAAGATTATTAAAATTCCTCCATTCCCCTCGCCTTCTCTCTGTATATCTCCTCCCTTTCCCTCCCTTCCTCTCCCTTTCATTGAAATCCCTCCCCTCTCCTTCCCAAACAAATCATACCCAAATATTGTCATTTATTAAAAAAAAAAAAACAAAGCCAACATATAATAAGTATTCAAGGAAGTCAAAATTTAAAAAGTCTTCATATGAATAGGTTTTTCCATACATATTCCCCATTTGCACGCAGCACAACTGCTGATCTTTTATATTTGTCATCTCTATTTTTGCGTTAATATAACACCGTAATCTAATGACTTAGAAGCTTTTTGTGTTTTTTTTTAATAAATGGGCCGTGGTTGAATTTCATCTATAATCTCACGCCATTAATGATCCGTGCTGTCTAGTATTTGTTATTGAGATTTTATTTTGGTGATTATATTATTTTTTTCATTAAGACTTTATAAGTATTTTCTCTATATTTCTTTTTACGTGCGAGGACATGTTATAATTAGTAGCCTGCATACGCGTACATAAAAGAAAATGAAGTTAGAAAATACATAAGTATCACAGGATGGTCCCACTCTCACACCATAGTCTCTTGTTTTAACTTTCAAGCAAAAATACGACAACATTAGCTCCTACGAAATTAAAGAAAACTTACACACACACACACACAACATATACTGCATATATATACATATATACTTAAATTTCAATTATTTAGTCTACCGTGACTTAATGTAAAGACCAAGTATGCTCTGCAAATTGACCAATAATATAGCGATGTAACTTTGTACGTGTCCCACTCTTTACTTTTGTTTCTCATTATTATTGCTCCATTTCATCTTAAATATAATAATTTAATAATGAATTTATTTTGATCATAAATGCAATATCTTAATCTGTTTTACCTCACAAATTTATAAATGTTCCCAATTTAGCTCTGTCGTTTGTATAGTTTGTATATATTAAGAAGCTTTCTATTAAAGGAAATCATGATTAAAGTATATATTTTAGAAAATTTAACATACTTTTATTACAAATAACTAATTGAACTAATTTTTTAAATATATGTAAATTAGTTATCTAATTTGTATATTTAAGATGAGAGAAAATGCTTTTTTTTTTTTTAGTTTTCTTTCAAATGCAGGCGTGTTTCTTGGTATTTGTTAAATACAAAATAAACAAATTGCATATAGTAGGAAATTGTGCTAGCTCAGCCAATCATCTCAAGTTAAAACCTTGAGCACACTGGGACATCTAAAAACTTGTCAAGAGAGCATAGACTGATTAATTTTACGGTTTTATTAATAACTTGACTCCATTTAAATTAGTTAACGATTAATATAATTTATATCCATATTGAGTCACAATACAATGCAAAGCTCGTTTAAAGTTTGAATTGTTATATACTTTATTTTGTGTGTGTGCCTATATATATATATATATATATGTTATTTTGTGTGTGTATATATATATTTTTATTCCCTCTATTAAATTCATCATCAATACACCCCTATATTTGATTAAACTAATTTAATATATGTACATTTATTTTATTTTAAAGTAAAAAAGGATTTTTTTTCCTAATGAAAAAGTTTAAATAGTTCAGATTTCATAGGCTCACCAAATTTGAGACAGACTTCACATATATACTACCTTTAGTCCTAAGTAGACAAGAAGATTACTTTCATTATAAATATAAAATCTCAATCAATTTTATATCTCAAATTAATAATTTGTTTTCCAAAATAT